GTCTCACGTCCAGATCAGCAGACCACGCCGCCTCTGACCTCGGATGAGATTGCAGGCTCACGAGATACGAACGAGACTACCGTCTCACGTTCCGGTCGCCGAGTACGGTTGCCCGTACGCTTCCGCGACTAGTCGCACAGTGAACAACCGATACGGTGTAGGATTATTCCTATACTACACGCATGCTACACTCTTCTTTTTTCATTTTCTTTTTGTTTCCTGAGCCCACGCCTTCGACCATCTCCGTTTGGTTCCGTCGACTTCTTTGGCGAAAGCTGGATTGGCCACCCACGCTCTTGTCAACGTACTCAGTCGATATTTTGGTTTCGAATGCTTGGCATACGCTTGGTCTCGAACTTGGTCGTTACGGTCGCTTCTGGTCTTTTGGCTCAACGTGGTTTCGTCCTACGTCTGCAGCGTTTCTGGTCCGCATTCCCTACGAACGCAATCTTCAGATTCTGGATACAAACCACTCTGGTGTAGCATGCCAACTCAAGCAACAAATACAGCACATCGCTCCTGGTACCGTTCTCCGAAAACGACCTTCGTTGGCAACTCGACGATCAACGATCGCTTTCCTGTTCGCCAATTCTTCCGTCCTACAATCGCTCGTCAGCCGATCAGTCCCACGATTTAAACCGCTATTTATCGAAAGTGTAAACCCTTTCTAGCGGAGGGCTCCTGTAGTGACTCACATTTATCACGAGAACACGACTGGTTTAATAAAAACAATTATTATTATAACCAACTGTACCAGTGTTTGTTTTAATGTGCTTTTGTTTGACTGTGCTAATGACAGCTATATTGTGCTTCCATTCTTATACACACACTTTGATTGTAACTTCGCGCGAATTCGGTTACGTTCTGTAACCAAGCTTGTATCCTGGCACGATCTCGGTATCCTTTCGATGCCACGAGATCGCCAGCGAATATATCTCGATTTGGTCCATTAACTGTCTTCTGATATTTGGCTTCTCGAAGATTTTATGGATTTATTTGGTTACGTTCAACCTTCGCCTTCTGATCTACTTGGCACGTGTTTTTTGGTAGCGGTGTTCATAGTCAATTCCGACTCGACTCCACGCTACAATTGGTGACCCAAGTTCTGGAACACGCCTCAACTTCTGGTCAAATCTTCCAAAGAAGCCAATTCGGTGAGTCTATGATTTATCTATCCACGTCTGTCGTATATTTTCATATTTTTCAATATATAATATACGCGACATGACGGATAACGATAAGAATAGTATTAATATAATAGACTCACATGTATGTGTACCGAATCCTTGTCACTTTTTATTCGCGTGACGATGAATTCCACGCTTTATTCGAGAAATTTTCCCCTATTAACTATTCTCCTCGCTGACCCGGCTGCTTGGTACGGAATGCATTCGCATACGCATTAACGTCTACCTCCCAGCACCAAATGGTTAAGTTGAACGGTTTCACTGCCAACTTAAAAGTGCTCTACGAGCACACGAAAACGGCAACTGGCACGAAACCTTACCGCTCGTTCTCTTAGGCATCAAAACGAGCTTGAAGGCAGATATCCAATGTTCCGCCGCTGAACTTGTATACGGCACGACATTGCGTCTGCCCGGAGAATTCTTCACACCACGGAGCAGACCTAATTTCGGTAAATCAGACTACGTCCATCGACTGTCTGCATTTATGCGAACGCTGTCTCCGGTGTCAACTCGAATACAACATCGACAGGTCGCTCTCCCTCGAGAGTTATCTACCTGTTCACATGTTTTCATACGAGTAGATTCGGTACGCAAACCTTTGCAACAACCTTACGAAGGCCCTTTTCACGTGATCGCTCGTCACGAAAAGACCTTCAAGGTTGATCGACATGGCCGCGTCGAGATCGTCAGCATTGATCGTCTCAAACCAGCACACGTCGATGACAGTGCCCTATCTGATACCCTGAGATTCAATGCTAGACCTATCAAACCTACTAGCGGGATCCTTAAATCTTCTTCAGGTCCCACGCTAGATACATCTGAGACCTCATTCTCACGTCCCGGTCAACAGCACGCGTCATCTGCACCGTCTACGGACGAGACGACAGTCTCACGTCCAGATCAGCAGACCACGCCGCCTCTGACCTCGGATGAGATTGCAGGCTCACGAGATACGAACGAGACTACCGTCTCACGTTCCGGTCGCCGAGTACGGTTGCCCGTACGCTTCCGCGACCAGTCGCACAGTGAACAACCGATACGGTGTAGGATTATTCCTATACTACACGCATGCTACACTCTTCTTTTTTTCATTTTCTTTTTGTTTCCTGAGCCCACGCCATCGACCTTCTCCGTTTGGTTCCGTCGACTTTGGCGAAAGCAGGATTGGCCACCCACGCTCTTGTCAACGTACTCAGTCGATATTTTGGTTTCGAATGCCTGGCATACACTTGGTCTCGAACTTGGTCGTTACGGTCGCTTCTGGTCTTTTGGCTCAACGTGGTTTCGTCCTACGTCTGCAGCGTTTCTGGTCCGCATTCCCTACGAACGCAATCTTCAGATTCTGGATACAAACCACTCTGGTGTAGCATGCCAACTCAAGCAACAAATACAGCACATCGCTCCTGGTACCGTTCTCCGAACAAGAATTTCGTTGGCAACTCGACGATCAACGATCGCTTTCCTGTTCGCCAATTCTTCCGTCCTACAATCGCTCGTCAGCCGATCAGTCCCACGATTTAAACCGCTATTTATCGAAAGTGTAGACTTTTTCCAGCGGAGGGCTCCTGTAGTGACTCACATTTATCACGAGAACACGACTGGTTTCATAAAAACAATTATTATTATAACCAACTGTACCAGTGTTTGTTTTAATGTGCTTTTGTTTGACTGTGCTAATGACAGCTATATTGTGCTTCCATTCATATACACACACTTTGATTGTGACTTTGCGCGAATTCGGTTACGTTCTGTAACCAAGCTTGTATCCTGGCACGATCTCGGTATCTTTTCGATGCCACGAGATCGCCAGCGAATATATCTCGATTTGGTCCATTGACTGTCTTCTGATATTTGGCTTCCCGAAGATTTTATGGATTTATTTGGTTACGTTCAACCTTCGCCTTCTGATCTACTTGGCACGTGTTTTTTGGTAGCGGTGTTCATAGTCAATTCCGACTACACACCACGCTGCAAGCTCTTATTTGAACCGTGAATTATTGCTATAGCGTTTTCCACTCATAACGTAGAACTGATTATTTGTGTTTCCAGTATTCCATTATCCCATGATTATTGTTGTTGTTCCGTGTCAGTACTTTTACCTAATTGGTTTGTTCTGGGACCTGATCTTGTGTGTATTTAAATGAATATCTTAATTATACTAACGATCTTGGACTGGTGAACTCTGGTCACATATTCAACTTCTTCGTTCTGGCCTAGTTAGTATTGAGTCGACCTTTAGGAATAGTGTATCAGTCTTCCTCGTACTTGCAGTGTGTTGGTTTCTCAGGGTTGTCTGAGCGTTTTGGTTGGTTGTAAGATATAACTCGTGATAAGTCATAAATGCAGTTAAATTAAGCATGATGTCCGGGTGGTTATCCTAACAAGATGCATGATTTACTGTGGTGGGAATTTCTTTTTAGAAATGATTAACTGGCTTGTAATTGACAATCAAACTGTATACTATTTGAACTTTTAGAATTACAAAAGAATGAAATAGTTGACTTCAATGGATATCGATCTGTTAACAAATGTGGTTACTGGAAAGTTACACTTTATTTCTGAGCTCAAACTACAATAAATGTGCTTAAAATTATTTAGACGTCTTTTCAGAATAAGCTGGCAATGACGTGTTAAAACTATTTTAGCGTAAATTTGGGAAGTGAGAATTTGAGGTATATGATATGGGCTTCTAGGTATATTTAAATTAGTGTTTTCAGGACAACTTGTCATAGCCGTCTTATGATTGAGACTTTATGTCAAAACAGTTTTGTGGTCATGATTTTGGTTGAATGAAATCCTATGAAACCTTAAATAAAGTTTTTTTAGGAGAGACTAAGAATAACTTTATATTTGATAGAATTTTAACTATTTCATAACTAAATATAAATGAATAGTTAAATGTTTATTTGAATTTTCCCTTTGGTCAGATCAACAAGCCTTTGCAAACTGCTTCTAGGAATGTTAGAAATAGTTATTACCCATGTTTATATCTTTCTATTACAACTAAGGTTTCGGGTGAAAATGTAACTTGGAAATCATATAAAAAAACACTATATTGTGGGTTGTGTTAAAAATCAATCAACCAACGGGTGAACTTGAACCTATTAATTGGAATAAAATCATCACTATCACAAATGTCAAACCTGAATCTTGTTATCAAAAATAATATTATTGTATATTTGTCATTGCATAGGTCATGTTGTATCGAATAATATCGCCTATGAAGAATGATCACAAAATCATTTTTGTGTTGACTTTTTTAACCTCTGATCGCTTTACTTTAATAGTCACTTTAATCTTCATAGTTCAGAATATTTTAAATCGAATGGGTTTGATGATTCCCGTTTTCATTATACACTATTCGTTTTCACCTTCTGTTGATTTTTAGCAGTTACGTTTGTATAATTCAACGCATTTAAGCAAAACCAGAATAAATACTTTAACTTTCATTGCTTATTGTTTGATTAGTCTATATACTTGTTTCGTTATATTCTGATTGTCAAGTGAGTATTTCTTTGACAGAGTAGATCAATTTGAAGTTAGTTTTAGACTGGAAATGGTATCAGCTAAAGAATTATGGAATTCCAGAGAGTAGTTATTTCGTGACTGATTTGTCACCGTCAAATAGCCGATTTTTGACTATTTTTCAGATAACTCCAGTTTGTGAATAAAAATATCTTCTAATGGTGATGTTGACAACTTTAGAACAATCAACTGACATGAATATGGATAGAAATTCACTGGAATACCATAATTCCCGGTAAAAAAAAATATTTATAGGAAGGAATACGAAAGTAGTCCTACTAAACTTACTTATTTTAATTTGTTCCTCATTTGATGAATTGATGTGATCCGTTTTCCCAAGACGATTTTGATCAATTATTTCTTTAGATCCGATGGCTGTATTATTATTATTGATCTGAATCAAAACATCACTGATATTTCTAGATGTTGTATTTTTGCTCGTTTCCGGTTTAGATGTAGTTTCAATGTCAAAATTAGGCGTGAACCTACTGATTACCAACATCCCATTATTTCCAACACCACAGATACGTTTGGTGATTTCTTCACCTTTTTGATCGGTAATCACATCTTGATATTCCTGTTTATTTATTATTGTGGTTGCCATCATTGTTACGGGTGTTTGTTGTTTAAATGATTCTATGTTGTCAACTAAGTTAACCTTTGCTGGGTTTAATAATTTACAATTTTTATTAATTAATAATTGGTCAGAAAAAGCCACTGGACTTAATTGATCATGATTATTTTTATTATTCGCCAGTGGTGACACCATTTCCTTAACTTCATTTTCTTCTGAAAATATACTTTCATAACCATGTAAACACGTACATGATGAATCGATGAATTCTTCTGTTAATTCCATGTGTAATGTATTTGATTGGTCAAAATTAGTATTATTTAATGGATAATCCTCGTGTTGATACAATATACTAACCGCTGATTGATTTGATGAATCACTTGCTTCACTGTTGATTACATTATACTTCAATACATTATTGTCTACTGAGTATGGTTGATCTGAATTTAGATCAGAGTCTGAAATTTCATCATGATTTACCAATCGATTTTGTGGTTCATTATTGCTTATTTGGAAAGAACCTTTTAGAAAATGATATTAAGAGGCAAATTAAAATTATGTATAGAAAATGTTTATGTGTGGGAAATACAATTTAGGATTAGGAAAATACTCTATCATGTATTTATCACACCTTAACCATAAAAATGAGGGTTATCGTCATACATTACTCAGAAAGTAACACTTGTGTAGACATGTGAAATGTGTTTTGAACTTAACACTCGCCACTGCCAAACACTCGTACACTAACCTACAAACTTCAAACTGAAGACACTTACTCCATGTAAAACAAATATTAGTTATCATTAAAGCCGATTTATTGAATGTGAAACCCATAAGCAAATAAACTTGACCTGCTTACACTTATAGTTCCTTAACGAACGACTGTGAGCCTAAATAATTAGTAATTTAGATGTCTAGACACCATATCGAAAAAAACAGTTGCCAAATAATTGCAAGTTCACTATTAAAAGCTAAGAGACAGTTTACGAAAAGAAATTTCCGAATATCTATCGTAAGCAAGTAGATTGTGTAAACAGAATGAAACGTTAAATAACTTAAGAAAGTAAAAGTAAACGGTTTTATTGGTATTCAGTTTTTGAGATATTACAAAGTATTTATGGATCAGAAGTGAGCTTTGAAGGCTCTAGGTTCCCTGAGGTGAATGATGTAATCGTGAAGTTTTCAAGTAACATTTATTTGTCTCTCAGACGACTTTGATGTATGTATTCTTCGTTATGCTGTGTGTTAATACAATATTCAATGATGAAGTATTTGATAGGCCTTTAGATACTTCTTTCCGAAGCCGTTCAACAGTCAAATATTATCTGTTAGCCCAACGAAAGATATTGGGCTGAACAAGAATATTATCCATAGGGTTAAGACGAAAATACTTTTCTAAAATATATGGCAACCCCTGTTAAGAAGATAGCAAATAAAGCGCTTCGAGTTTTAGGCCGTTTTTAATCAATATTGATATTAAGTATATATTTTCAGCTAATATTCCCTTATGGATTTTTGACTATTCCTTTTATGGCCAGATCTATAATTTTTCAGTTTTAATTCTCTTTATCATGATCTTAACCCTAAACCAAGGATAATACCTAGCTTCTTCATTGTTAGTTTGTTAAACTATGAGGACTTGCACAATGATCTAAAGTGTAAAACTGATGACAGGGGATTAAACAACCTGCGTGTTCTCCGACAATTCGATATTCATATACCTCATAAGGTTGGAGCAACGAGTATGACAGACGAAAATTATGGGATCTTTATGTGATTTGGAAATTCCATCATAAAAATTATTTGTTGTTCTTCATAAAACAAGTCAAGCCCATTCCATTTTAAAGTTATCAATTATAGAGATAAGCCTACCAGTTTGGAATAGTTAAAAGCGAACAAATTCATAACTAAATCCATTACTATTATTTTAGGCGTCAGTGTCATCTCCACTTTTTTCTATAACTGTTCATCTGAATACATGATAAATAAATAAATTATAATGTTTAAAAGTAATACCTGCTTTTTTTAGTTCTTTACAAAGGAAACCACAAAGGTAGCGTTTCAATTTTAGTGTGATACTTGCATCAGACTTCTTCAAAACTGAAATGGCCTTTATGTTATCTAGACCACTTAGAGATATTTCATTTACCTGTGAATGTGAAAACAGGAAATATGGCATGATAAATTCAAAATATAAGATTATACTACTTAATTATACCTCATATCATGAAAACTAATAAAATGATATTTTAATTAAAGTTGGTTAGCGGCTAGTAGTGAAATACAGCACAAGCATTTCATCCTCCTACTTCATAGACATCAAAGATCATGCATTCCCATCAAAACATTGAGAAATTCATTTTCAGGAAAGTCTCTAGATAGTATACAAATAAGTGAAAGTTTATTGGATTTTGTTATCACTTTCATTAACTTACCAGTAAATACTGTCGTTAATCAGACAACCGAAGTTCGTATTCAACACAATGATAGCTGACAGTGTTTACAAAAACACTAGATCATTTCGATTAGTTTTTTTAATGAAGGTGCTCGTCAACGATTCCTTCTGAATATTTGTTAGAAATACTCTATAATGAGAAACATTTACTTCAACTGGCTAATGACTGAACACATGGAAGTAGATTATCTTTTAGACCAAGTATGTTGATAATTAATTATACATATAATATATGATAATAACTTTTCGGTTATCTAGTTTAATAACTCCTCTTTTCAGCTATTTTCTTCGTCAGCAGATTCTTTAAAAGTAACCGTACTATAGTTTCTTGCGTTGAAGTGAAAGTCATCTACTTTATTTCTATATCCATCTTTTTTCTTCTAGAATCTTAGAGGGCTCCGATGACAGTTTACTTCAAAGGCATTAGATTTTTGAAGAGGCTGTACGGATGTAATTCACTTGTAAATAAGGTAAACACCTCTTTCTAGATGTGGTAATAAACCTAACCGATTTAATACAGTTGTTTATTTTGGATTGAAAAGTAATAGAATATGAAATTATTGACAGTTAACACGTGACAAAGAAATAATTAAACTTGTCTGCAAGACGAACTATTGGTTTCAATACACAATAAAATTTATTAAGACATATCAGTGTAAAGATTTGCTGCTCTAATATATTTTACCACCTTTCTTTCAGTCATCGAATAAATATTCTTCATCAACTTCGTTCTGTCATTTCATTATTTAAATAAATAAAAGCGGCTATTTGGAATATATGATATTAATAAGAAACACCCAATAGTACTGAACGTTTATTCTCACTTGGATTATTTGATCATTTACTTGAATTGATTTTGATTTATCCGATATACTGTTGGGAGTGATCTTTTGTACAAAAATTCCTTTATTGTATGCATTTTCTAAAAAGAGAAGCATAATATGTACCAAAATGATTTATTATTTGTCTACCTTAAGTTGTGTTAGTAGCACAAATAGTTATATTCTATTTTTTCCTATTCAATAAATGTTTCTCACATGTGATGAAGCATGTACTGAATCATGGAAATAAATCGAGAACTAAGAATCATTTTAGTCAATTCAAGCAATATATGAAAATCTTTCTTTAATGTAAGAACACCGATCTCTTTGTTAGAAGTGAACTCTTGATTTCTTTGTTGATGATACTTATCTGAAGGACACTTTATTATGTATAGTCCATGTCTCACTGTTTATAGATATTGCTTCGTCAGTTGATTGTAAAAATCAGTTCAGTTTTTGAGGTAGTTCTCATCACAGATACAACTCAACTGGTGGACTACTGAAATAAAGGAAACAATGAATCATTAGTCCTTCCTGGTTTGAGGCTCCCCAACTGTACACACCTAACTGGATCTGGAAATTCATGTTACTCATTTGACATGGAATCGGTAGTATTAGACCTATTAATATTAGATTACTAGTAGGTTTGAATAACCGGATGGAACATTTTAAATAAATCTATTTAGTCGCATTTCATAAATAATGCTTAGAATCGTCCTGTGTATTAACTCATGCTTATGGAGGACCAATGCAACATCGTCGTCGGTCAGACTGTAGGACTGACTCAAACAGGAAGTATAGTATGATCTGTATTTTAGTGTATTAATTTTTCACTTATTTGTGGGTCGGTTGAGTCAAGATAAATTGGGTCATTCATATGATATTTTCTTATTCTAAATCATTCAAGTCACTTTACCTTGAAACTCATGTTGTTTCGGTCTTTATTTTCAACAGACTTCTGAGGAGGAACCACAGTAACCATGACACACCAAATAATTGTTTAATCCTGGTTTATGTCTTCTCAAAAGAATATTAAAGATTCCCATTGTGAAAATTAGAACAACACATACATAAGCGAACAATATTGTTTTCACAGATTGAACTCATGAGTCAGTTAAAGCTAGACCACCATTGAAGACCTGGAAGCACTGGACGGCCGTTTCGTCCTTGTATGGGACTCCTCAGCAGTGCGCATCCACGACCCCGCACCACCCGGGGCTCGAACCCAGGACCTACTGGCTTCGCGCGCGAGCACTTAACCATTAGACCACTGAGCCGGCATCCAACGGTGTTAATGTCTAACTTCAACCAATCCACGAAGTTGCGCTACCGTGGTCTAGCTTCAACTGACTCATGAGTTCAATCTGTGAAAATTTCTAAAAATCTCCACAAAACACATTCTGATAATATTGTTTTCAATTAGATCGTCATCATGCTTTACTCTAATATGCATGAATATTTATACGAAAATGTAAACCAATCAAGGCAATATGGGTCAATTATCACAATGAAATAGAATAGGTCATCACACAAAATAGGTAAAAATACAAATTTCTATTATTATCATTATCTATTTATTTTATTCTATTTGTGTTATCGTTGACCTTATTTCCACATCCATTATTTGTTTGTAATTTTCCGCCTCTTTGTATTCTTCACTATCTAATTATTTACACACATCTTATTACGTAATGATTTTAATGTTTTGTGATTACTATGCCTAGTCTATTTACCCACGTTTGACCTTCTGTTTCCAACGTTTAACTATTGATAAGAGTTTTGTTATTGTATTTTATTATTCTTACTATTATCAGTTCACCTGTCTTCCTACTATCAACTTGTACTTCTACCTATTATGTGTAGTGACTTATTCTATTTCATTGTGATTATTGACCCATATTGCCTTGATTGGTTTACATTTTCGTATAAATATTCATGCATATTAGAGTAAAGCATGATGACGATCTAATTGAAAACAATATTGTTCGCTTATGTATGTGTTGTTCTAATTCTCAAAAGAACTCACCTACTACCACACCAGAGATCAGACCCAGAACCTTCCTGTCTCTTTGCAAGAGTGCTTCTAAGGATAACTTAATGGAAAATCAATGTGATATAGTGAGACTGTTATCATGGAACGAGTATAGGAAAAGTCAGAACTTTCGGAACTATTTTTCGGATTATTATTATTATTGTCCATATTTTTACTGCATAATTTATAGATAACTTTATTATTGTGTTCTCACATTGGCCGTATCGTAAGCTCCCAGCGGACTTACCAACTACTGTTATGCCTGTTACTGTTCCCTAACTATCGCTAATTAATTATGTACTGTTTACTTAGCTCTGACACTTATGACATAGTGTTTAAAATACTACTTTTTGTTCGATCTGCTTCAGGATCCGACAGTCCGTGCATATTATCTAGTGACTGTTTGAAACAGATCTATGCTGGCTGTTTGGTCTGGATAATTAAAATATATTATTAATAAGAGCCTGAGTGCAGATTTTTCTCTGGAGATGGAGAAAAGGCTTTCGGGTAGACGAATCAATAGTAGTATGGCTCATGTAAGTTCAAGGTCAGTTGTTTCAGTCAAAACCCATTATTATTATGGATAAGGTCTCTAGGATATAAATGAAATAGCAAACTCGCGGCATAGTCGAAAGTCCGACTGGTAAATCCAGCACGTGATATAGATCATCATCTAGTTTCATGAAACATACTTTCATCACAAACCAGCATATCTCAACTCTCCCAATCAAGGTGATTCACTAGAATGTATGAAATTTACTCTGAGTTAGTAGATACGTTTAATAATGATACAAACAGTTCAGTTATACGGGTGTAGGTAAGTAATCTAATCAACATTACTCTCTGCTAACGGGAGAAATATTGAGTAAAACGCTTGAAATATATTAAGGTAATAGCTCATAATCGTTTTCCCAAAGTTTCACCGTTTCTTCATGATGTATTGCGACTTTGATTTATTCAAATCTTCTTTGAAATTTTCATAAATTTAAAGTAACCTTTCTTAAAGTAAATGACTATTATTAGTCGATAATCACATGTTTTTCATTTAGTAACGTAATATAAAGTTTCACTTCACAATTTGACGTACTTTCAATCTAATTCGGTATTTATGTACTGAACACTTGAAAATATTCATTATGTAATTATTTTTGGAAGCTTCAAAACATTAGATTGTTTACTTGTCATTTGTCACTTGCAATCATGAGAGAAATTAAAAAAACAACTTATGAATGTAATTGAAACTGTGTTGTATGAAGTGTGAAACTATTCATAGTTTATTATTTGGTTGACATTTAAAATGAAACTCATTTAATAAAATTGTTTTCTGTTTTCCAAAAAGGTAAAATGTTAATTCACTAGCTTTCAATTACCGGAGTTCACATAAATGGTTACTTTGTGATAACCAAAGCAATGCTTATGTCTTTGGTAAAGTTGTGTTCTCTGACCTGGATACTTTAGTCATTGATAAGTCTTGTTAATTTGAACGCTTTATTTGATTCCTAAGCTATTCTGGTAACCCTCAAGCTAGAACTACGCAGTGACCTGAACACGAGAGAAAAGGCGTAAAATAAGCGAAAAGCACTTTACTCCAAAGGTTAATTTTTGTACAGAAAACACGGGTATTTAAAGATATTAGCATTTGTCAAATCAACATTATATTTTGGCCAATCCGCTAAGAGACACATTATGCTACTGACCAACAGTAGCATGCCACGTTGATATTCCTAGAAAGATCCATCATGTTCTGATTGGCTGGAACTCTTCGGCTGCTTTAGGGCCTCTGGAGGCTCCCTTTTAGTTCTCGGAAAGCTGACTCAACAGTCATGAAACTTTCATCATCCGTCTACAGGAAATCATCAGCGCGGACTTCAAATAGAAGCAAACCGTTAACATTTCTCCACAAGTTAAATCCCACAATAGTAGAGGTAGTTACAGCATCAGCGATCATAGGGAAGGTTAGATATAGAAGATATTATTCGAGAATAAAATATAAATTAGTGAAATAAAAACATAGAAACGATCATGAGGAATTGAGAAACTCAGAATTTAGAGGAAGACAAGGAATAAATCCACCTGCACCATTGCGAACGACTGTAAGCCATTTCATTCAAATATATCTAACCACTGACTTCAGTATTCATACAGACCACATCCAGGTAGTTTATTCCTATAAGCATGGCTAAGTCCGATTATCGGTAACATCATGGACGTACGACATGCTTTGGTCTGGGCACCCTTAGCTTTCTTCCAAACTAATCCTATTGCAGAAAGCATCACGCTTCGAGGTAGGCGGCGATCGGGCATGCGTAGCACATGTACAAACCATCTCAGATGATGAAGATTTACCACCTCTCTAACCGATTTCCCATCATTTAGCTAGTACTCGATTCCTAACCCGGGCATAGCATACTCTATTTTTCGAAAATATACGAGTGATGCTTAGAAGACACCAATGATCGAATGGCAGTAACCAACGAATAGATAAAGAAACTCAATATCCATGGTTCATATACAATCAGCAACACTACTATGGGAGAGAACAAAACAACTTCCAGCTGAAGAGGAAATTAGGAAAAGACGTTGGAGGTGGATAAGACAAACATTGCGGAAATCACCAAACTTCATTGCAAGGCAAGCACTACCATGGAATTCTGAAGAGAGGAAGCAAAAAGGAAGACCAAGGAACACATTGTGGAGGGGATTGGAAGTAGATATCAAGAGAATGAATCGCAATGGGAAAGGATTCGAAGGGGACTGCTATTGGGTGACTTATGATCCTTCTTGAAGCATAAAAAGCAAATATAAGCATGTTTAACACCCGTTAAGTATAATGTAGCAAACTGCTGAGCAGTAAACTCGTCATTTGTTCGGAAGACGGATATCTCGCCTACGCCACTGTTCATTCAAGTTAGCATAAACCAATCGAGTCTTCTGAATCTGCCGAAATTTCATCAGACCACAGATCACCAGTACTGATGAAACTTCCTAGATAAGTAAAGCGATCGACACACTCAATTACCTCACTCCCTATCACTAATTCAGGCGATGACGCAATTCAATCCGCATTCCAAACATGTTTGCATTGTTCTTATGTTGATCAGGAGACCGTATTCTGTCAAAAACTTCACCAAACTGAACTATAACATTTGGGTATTCTAAGTCGAAAACTGAACCTACTGATAAAAAACCAACCTCTGAAAGGTCAGAGGTTGAAGGTGTACTCTATTACTAACCCAGGTATAGCTTACTCTATGTTCCAAGCATACACGAGTGATGCTTCGAAGACACCAATGATAGGATAGTCAGTCAGTCAGTCAGTAACAAGGTAGAACTTCGTACGTACGTACATCAGTTCGAGTTGCCACACCACATTAGCACAGAGATGCAGTTGCCGAGTCAAATTCCGTAGTGGTAGAAGTGGTAAGAGTATAAGCAGTAATCGGAAAGATTAGGGTTTGAAGATGTTATTCAAGGAGTATAATCTAGTGAAATAAATTCGGAAAGAGTAAAAAAGGACATGAATAATTCAGAAGATTAAGATTTGGGAGAACACAAAGAGTGGATGCACCTGCACCATTGCAAACGACTTTGAGCCGTGTCATTCAAGGTCTCTAACCATCGGTTGCTATCATCTCGCGGTCCCCAACCAGGTAGTCTACACATACCAACATAGCTCAGCCCACTTGTCAGTAACTTCATGGACTTGTGCCATGTTTTGGTCTGGCCGCCTCTAGCTTTCTTCCAACCTACTCCTATACCACTGAACATAGCACGTCGAGGCAGTCGGTGGTTGGGCATACGTAACACGTGTCCCAGCCATCTCAACTGATGAAGTTTCATTACTTCATCAACCGATTTGCCATCCTTACCTAGTACCCGTTTCCTAACAACTGCATCCCGTACTCAGTGGTTCCAGGATATACGACCAATGTTTCGAAGACACCTATGATCAAATACTAGTAGCCTACGAATATCCTCTACTCTTACCGTCCATGTTTCACTGCCATAAAGTAGGACGGAACGAACTGATGCGCAGTAAACACGTCCTTTGGTTGATAGACGGATATCTCGCCTACGCCATAAATGACGCAAGTTGGCAAAAGCTAGTCGAGCCTTCTGTATCCGTGCTGAGATTTCGTCACACACCAGACCATAAGGGCTGATGAGACTACCAAGATAAGTGAAGCGGTCGACACACTCAACTACTTCACTCCCTATCACTAGTTCGGGTGTCGATGTAACCCAATCCTGAAGTAACATTTCGCATTTTGAGGGAGAGAATCGCATCCCGAACATGCTTGCATTGTTGCTTAGAGTGGTCAGAAGACTTCACCAAATAGAACTATGTCATCTGCATATTCTAAGTCAACAAGTGAACCTCCCGGTAGAAGTTCAACCCCTGGAAATTTAGATGAGGAGAGTGTTATCTCTAAAAGTACGTCGACCACAAAGTAACCAACGAATATCCTCCATTATTAATGGCTACGTTTCACATTCATAAAGTAGAACGTAGTGAAATGCTGTGAGTTTTAATGAACAAAGACTTACGTAGTGTACATTGAATACACCATTAGCACATTTTCCTTGAACTGTCTCTGACAAGCTTCATCAATCTTTCATTCTTATCACTTGTTGGACTACTTTTGCTTTTCTTTCTTTTCTCCTGATATTCCTCTTCTGTGAGTAAGAATCCTACTTCCAGTTCTTGATGCATGCTAATTATATCTGTCCGTATAAGTAGCACACATTACAGTAAATTCATCCTTTTGGTTGGAAGACAGATATCTCGCCTACGCTACAGAGTGACGCCAGTTTACAAAAGCCACTCTAGCCCACTGAAACCATGCCTAGATTTTGTCAAACACCAGACCATCGGTACTCATGAGACTTTCGAGATAAATGAAGCGATCGACACGCTCAACTGCTTTTTATGATATCATTATTTTAGGCTCTAACCCAAGCCAATCTTGAAATAACAATTCGAATTTGGAGGAGGAGAACTTCATTTCAAATGTGTTTTCATTGTTGCTCAAGGTGGTTGGAAGGCTGGATTTCGTCAGCACCTTCACAAAATAAAACTATATCATTTGTTTATTCCATCCAACAAGTGAATCTCCTGATAGAAAATCAACCTCTGAAGTGTTTGGGTAAAAAGTCTGTTCAAAATCAGTGTACGACTTCGGCACGCCTTTCAATGACAGACACTGCCTCACAACCTAACAATCAATGAAGTCGAACGGTATCTTAATCACAAGGAATACAACTATGGTCGGACATCGTATAATTAATCTATGTTCCAGAACCTTCTTCGGAGTGAATAATTAGTCTGTACACCTACATCCAGGATTTTGTATATCATTCCAAACTACCTCGGAGTAAAAATGATTTTCATGGTTGAATTATTCTTTCTCTAGTTGGTTCTGAAATATATTCGTAGCTTTTTCATCATCAAGTTGAATTCTAGAGGGTTTTCTTGCTGTGCCTTTTCTCCGTCCAGTAATGCGCAGACAGATACGTGCTCAAACTACTGCTTGATTCGAGTCTAGAAATGTGCTTCAGAATGAGCAGCAGTCTTTAATCGAGTACAATCAACGATGGATGATGGCAACGTGATCAATTTGAACACGTCGATTAGTAGATTGTGGAGTTCACCACGCCAAACGATGTTTCTCCTTATGTTTAAAGTTGGTGTTAGCCATAAATATTTGGTTATCTGAACATAGTTGTAGCAAGCAGTCGCCATTTTCTGTTCACTGAGCCACAACACTGTAAGATCCGCCCAAGTGCCTTTCGGTCTGGTTCAGTTTATCTGAACATTAAAATCACCTGTCACCATTACTACATCAGAGCGTTTGGCTTTTTGAAAGGGGCTGTATAGCTTCCCATGACATTCATGATCTGCTTCATCCGAGCTGCAATCTGTGGGAGCATAAGCAGAGACAGTGAAGAGATAATGGTGCTTGTCTCTGTCCTTTCAATTTGTTACTGTTCCGTTTAGTTGGGCAATAAATACACTATTGTCTACTGAGAACCAATCTGGGCAAGCCAGTTCTACTTTTGAACTTAGTGATATACCTACACCAGTTAAGCCACGGGAAGTGACAATGGGGTCTCCAGGTACTCAAAGGGTAAATCTTATGGATTCTTGATGTTGATAAGGTAGGGTCAAACAAATGACTGTACTTGGATCCTGTATGCGCGCACGGGCGATGCAGCATGCGTCGATGGAGCGAGATTCTGGAGTCTTAGCTAAAAAAGCTTGTTGTCCTATGTGACAGAAGGTTTGAACATTTAAAGCTCCGACATGTGGTTTAGAGAGTGGTTTCAGGAAACCAAAAATAACATTTCATGAACTTAAATCATTAGCATTGGTGGAACGTGAAAATAAAGATAAATGGGAAAGGTTGGTCGTGAGAATGGAAGAATTATTAAAAGGTGAATAGGGAATTTGATGGTGAACAATATGATCTCGGATGCTGTTAAAGGTATGAGAGCGGTTGTTACTTACTGGTTGCTCACACCGTGGAAGGATATTTCTTGTTAAGGGACCTGAAAAGGAAGCTGAATTAGTGGCCTGGTAGCGTGACTACAGAGTCTAAGGGTTAGCATCTTGAGGCCGGTCGCACACGGCCTTTTTATGAGACATTTTTAATGCGTTAGCTCCGCACATTAAAATATGAGTTTTTATATAGTAGATGTTGATAAAATTGTGAGTTTTTTCGAGCTCATATTACGTATCTTGATTACAATCAACTCCCTGAGTTACAAAGCTTCCTTACCATCTCACTGTCTATGTGTAAATTCGTGACGAAGACAAAGAGATGGAATAATAAATTGTTGTCACTTAATCAGGTGCCACAATACCACTGTGTACTGTCATGAAACCTGGTGACATTTCAATTTGGTCATTACTTGTGAACAAAATGATTTAGAAACCTTGAAGGAGCTGGTACTCCATGAAGGGATATTGACTAAATAAATTATCACATTGAGAATGAATTTTTCATAGTTCCAATGTGTTGTTAATTTTAAGAAGATTGTATATGATCATAATTATTTCATAAAAAAAGCATATTACTAACTTACTATCATATGGATTTTTATAAATATATCCAACTACACTTAGACCTAAGCCTTGATCCTTTGATTTTGTTAATTGTACAGTGTGAATTTCAGTTTCTTCTGCCTCTTCATCGCCATTTTCTTGTTTATTATTAACATGAATTGATAAGCCTTGTTGACTTATATTCTCAAGAACATATTCATTGAAAGAAGATGAGATAGGATGATCAGTGGAGTAGTTTTGATAATTCAATGTTGTGTTGCAATCGATTTTTAAATTTTCATTATATTTATCTTGATTGAATAGATTTGATGAAAAAGAATAATAAAAACAATTATTTGTCACTAACATGAAACTATTTATCAAAAAAAATTCATTTTATAGAGCAGTTAATAAAACGGAGTTGATTTGAAAAATGTGATGGATGTACACTGTACGTTTCAAACAATATGGACAAACATATACATGTCGAGGCACTAATAAATGTCAATTAAATAAAAGATTCAATAAACATAGTGTGATAATTGTATAGGAAGAGAAAAAATTAATGTAATATAGAATGACATTATCATACCCGGTTTTTCTAATAACAGGTTTTTTCAACCCATTTTAAAGCTTCTTTCATCCCTTTTATGCAGTGGGATCAAGTGTTTTAAAAATGGAATCATTGGTCACTATTTTTTTAGGAGGAATATAAAAACAAAGAATAACTTTTGGCTTGACATATTCTAGTAACTATGAGCATGAGTAATTTAGCATGCACTGGCATAGTGATTTCGAACACAATCATGGACTCAGAAAGTGCGTTCCGGATAACCAATTTGTGTATTGAAATGAACGAAGTTCAGGGAACTACGCCTTACCTTAAAGTTACATCACTACCCTGGTACGATTTCAGGAAGTTCAGCTGGACGATGACAATAATCTGCATCATGTGGTTGAGTAAAAAAGTGTGATGTATTTGCGTTCATTCATTCGAACAATTTGGTCAAATAAACTCCACCTTCTCATTTTTCGGTCAAAATTTATAAAAGAGACTAATTATTTTACATTTGTATTACGTTAAATTTGCCATTGCTGATTAAACTGATTTGTCTACTTGCTGCTTAAATGCACTTGATTTTGATGAAACACGAAGAACCAACAACGAATATTCATTTCTCTATTAAATTCCGGCTCTGGATATAAATCTAATGGAGTTATCTATTACCTTCACCCATCATAAAACTTCTGCCCTACGGTCTCCATTTCTGTTACGGAATATAAACCGGTAATAGCTGTTGAAATAAAGTTTTTGTGAAATCTCATAACCTTTTATGTTGAGTACATCTGTTTCTTAACATCTCGTAAAGGGTATTTTGTTGAATGTATTATCTTCAATTCTAATTAAAATTGTAGAGGGTGAGATTGGACATTATTCAGTTGTTCCCCCGTTCGAGGTTTATAAAGAACGTGGACAGGTAAATAACAATTTTTAATCTATTATATCATATTATAATTTCAAAAATTACTTATCAACGGTTGACGCATTAAATGACTCGTTTTATCTGTGCATATAAGGATCATTTATTACCAGAACAATACAATATGAAGAATAATTTACCATTAGTCATATGGTGATTGACTGATTGGAAAAAAACCCTGTTTAGAGTCATCTACACAATTATTTAAATTTTTTGTTACCTTTCATTGTCAGAAGGGGTTTGTGGAGATTTTTAGGAATGTTAACAGATTGAAATCATGAGTCAGTTGAAGCTAGACCACCATTGAAGACCTGGAAGCACTGGACGGCCGTTTCGTCCTTGTATGGGACTCCTCAGCAGTGCGCATCCACGATCCCGCACCGCGCAGGGTTCGAACCCAGGACCTACTGGCTTCGCGCGCGAGCACTTAACAATTAGACCACTGAGCCGGCATCCAACGGTGTTAATGTCTAACTTCAACCAATCCACGAAGTTGCGCCACCATATACCATTGTCTTCAGTGAGCTGATATCTCACAACAGACCTGGTTGTACTCCACTGGTAACGGCTTCCCACTAGGACTCCAGGAGTATCTCTTGAAGTCAGTCACTAGTGAGCAGATGATTACTATCAGAAGGGGTTTGTGAAGATTTTTAGAAATGTTAACAGATTGAAATCATGAGGAGTCCCATACTAGGACGAAACGGCCGTCCAGTGCTCCCAGGTTTTCAATGGTGGTCTAGCTTCAACTGACTCATGATTTCAATCTGTTAACCTTTCATTGTGTTAGGATTTCTGTATATTACTATTCATCGAAGAAATAATTTATTTCTATTTTACCTGGTGTATATGGGTTTTTTCTGCGTCTGTGAATCGAGTGTTGTTGATGTAAAGTTAGCACTACTTATTGACATTAAAGCAATTGTAGTATTTTTTTCTTTAGCATTAACGATAAATTTTAAAGGTATGACAATAAATATTTTCAAAAAATGTAGTGACTGATTTAAGCATTATCGAAATACGTTCGCAGTATGTCTAGCTGTACCTTGTCATATATGAAGACATAACATACTATGAAACAAATTATCTCTGGCTGGAATACGTCCACACATGAATCTAAACTACTGATAGTGTTGTTGCTAGAACTCACTGTTATTGAAAGGGCAGTCGCTGAACAAATTATTGGCTTTTATGTTCGTCTTAAAGCAACATTAATAACTAATAATAATACCACTTACAAAACTATGATTAGTGCAAGACAGGTATGAGGAGTACAAAGGGTAAGAGGTGTGTAAAAAATTGCCCAATAATGCGTGGACGGATGTGAATAATGAATCTAAACCAGTTATTTTAATTATATGTGAAAATTATACTTGAAATAGTCTCAGTGATTGAAATTTAAAAATAATTCCAACATTTCGTCCAACAAACTTGTTTGGATTTCTTCAGGGTAATAATCATAATTAAAATCATCAAAGAATGATGGTATAGCATGTTAACAATCAAATCTATATATTGTGCTAATCAAATCATATAATGGATGTAGTACTTTAGTAAATAGGATAACAACATGAGTTAGTCAAATGCGAATTCTTTGGAAAGTTCACGATGGCCTCATGCAATCTGACTGGCTGCATAGCTTTTAGAACAATACCAGTTTCACGGAAACGACATAAAGAACTTTAAAGTCCTACATGTAGTATTTCCGTACTCAAATCAATTTCTACTGTGCATCTGAGGACTGAATTTGAATGAAAGCACGTCCTCAAAATATACAGATTGTAAAAACAAAACGATAATTGAACGTCAACCTCAAATTTATTGCCTTCAAGATAAACTGACAGTTGCTGTATGTTAATGATTGAAGCATCACCCACACCTACCTGTGACAGAGGTCATTGCATTATTCAACACGTTCACAGTCGTTGATGTATCAGGCACTCACAGCGTATCCGGCAGTCCCAACTACTGTTCCGAAAACGGATTGCCATACCTGGATCTTATGGCCCATTACGCACGTATTAACTAAGAAACTTGTGTAGAATTCATTAGTGTAAGACGGTTACCATCTGACATCAACCTCTCAAATGTGGCTGTCAAAAAATATTTTCCTGTCCCAAAAATTCTGACCAACTCCATTTTTTCACTGCTCGATCAAAACTTATCAAAGGGTTTGATTACTTTAAATTATGTATGTAAAATAATTATTGTATGCGGGCAATGAAAATAGAAGGAAATTCGTGGATGACTTTTAATTTCATTGAGTATTTACATAAGAAAGTTGAGATACATGTTTCCTTGAATATACCATCACTTTATCACATAGGAATATTGAGTCCCAATAGCTACTATCTACTCAGCGAATCATATTAGATTGTTGAAAATTCGAGACAGTAGGTCCTGTTTGACATAGATCTTGTACTATTTCAAACTGGTCGAAAAGTGGTATACTTAATATTAATAGACTTATTTTTTTGATGTGGTCTCAACTTCTGTCATTCAGTGTTATGACCAGGAATATTAATACAGCTAACACTGAACTTAAATAATTCAAGAGACTAAACAGTTCAGTAATGAAAACTAGCTTCATGAACAGAACATTAAACATCAAAAATGTAACAAATATTTCATCCACAGAGTAATACAAGTGATTTAAGAAATTTCCGTGTAGATGAATGAGAAGATAAGCTTTACTCTTAGTATTAACCATTTGCTTTAACAGACAATGTACTTAGCCCATTAGTATAGGAATATAATTACAAATGAAGATATTAGAACTACGTGGCACAATAAGTCACAGACAAGACCAATAGAAGAAACCAGCTTTTTGATTGTAGAATAGTTCCAATATGCTCATTCCTATGTAGACCTGATGTCCGTGTTTATCTAAAGAGCAAAACTGAATACTCTGGAATTACACAGAGATATAACTTTTTGAAAATTACTACAAGCGACGAAATACTACTCACCATGCAAAACGAAAGCAAAGAAGACATAGATAGATAGTTAGATAGACAGGTGGTTAGTTAGTTAGTTAGTTAGTTAGTTAGTTAGTTAGTTAGTTAGATAAATAAATAAATATTACACACCAAAAATCAATCAGAAGTCTATCTGGATACAGTGATTTGTTATGTCTTTTATTCACACCTAGTAATATTCATATTTGAATTGATTAAACTTAGTAGCTCTTGACAACAGTTAGTCAATAATTTGGTATTCCTTCGAATACTGAATCGATCTAAGTTGAACTAATATTGAAAAACTCTTCAGCAATGAGCATCCACGACCCCGAAAGTGAAAATCAAGCTCAGGGCCTTCTGTCTCGCTTGCGAACACTTAACCTGGCATACTAATGTAGTGAATACTAATCACAAGGATCTTTGTAAATACTGTGTGGCGAAATGTGGTGTAGAAGTTGCAACAATTGTCGGATAAAGTGAAAACTTTCAGTGCTTTGAAAGCACAGCATTGGCAGTGCACTTGGAGGCCTGTCTAGAAGACAGTTCAGTTTTCGGAACACACCGGAAGACGCAAGTACACAGTTGAAGGCTATGTATATGTATTGTGTAAATACTTTGCAACTGCTCTTTCCCTCCTGCCTATTGTTGTGTTTAACACTAGAATGAAACGGTCTTCCAGTGCTCCTGGGTTTTCAGTGCTGATCTAACTTGGCTCCCTTCAAGATTTCAATGAGATTCAACAATCTCCACAAGTCCTTACTGACAACAACAGGATAAATTAACACAATTCAAAATTTCACGATAACCAATACGTGAGTAATAAGAAATCAATTTTGAGCATCACTCGTACGCACACCACATAAGACTTTAACCATCATATCAAACGCTACTCAGAGAATGTAGTAATTAAATACAATTAAGCCACACTTCGTAAATAATACATGATAAGTATATTTCTTTAAAAATGTTTAAACTTACTATCTAAGCGATCATTTTCATTAACTCGACTTGGTAGATTATTGTGAACCTCTTCAATATCAGATTCTGAGCAATTTCGAGGACTTGTTATAACCTGAAGTGTCGAGCACGGTTTCATCTCTCGAAACTGCTGAAACTAAAGTAACAAAACTGGTTATAATTTTCACATATAATGACTTCTCTATACTCGGCGCCCAACTTTTGTCAATCTATTCATCCTAATCTTGACGAATATTCGTATAAATTATTTTCCAATCGAATTAAATTATCAGAGAAGAAAATACATAACTGGTACGATATTTAATACAAAATGTTTTTCCCAAATCTCTGATGGTCAGATCAATACAAAATGCTTAGTTCAAACCTTGGAATATTTATACAATAGAGTTTCAGAGAAGGGTGTAAAAGACGGTTCTGATTTTGCAGTATATGGAATACACGTTTGCTTTTTTTGCAGTAATGAAATTTATAGACAAACTGATTGTATAGTGGAGAACTTATCTGTAATGATTATTTTAACTAATAATTTTTTTCCCGAGGTTATAAAATAAGTAAGTCTGTCAAAGAGACTTTTGAGAAACTGGATATACTCTGCTGTTATATCAACAATGCATTCGATAGTGTCAATTAAAACATTCATAAAAACGAGTGTTTTAGACACAGAGAAAAATAAATATGATGATAAATTATATTTTTTGGCATCTTAGTATACAAACGAGTAGATAGATTGATTTGTCAAAGTTTGTATGGAAATAATATATCTACTTGTCAATACACTTGTTTCTTTAGCTTCATATTTATTCCATATATTATTAAACTTAATGAGATGTCTTATGAACAGAGCTAGGAAGAACTGTTTGGACAATATTGTATAAAGAAATTAGAGATCACGCACGAAATATTCACTGGAACCAGTTATCTTGGAAGTCTTTTAAAGAATCATATGAATTAAACGAACAGTAAATCAGATGTATTGATTATTAGTAAAAAGTTTTCACTAGAAGCTTTAAAATATAAAGGCGAAAAGGCATTATTATTATTATTATTATTATCACAATAATAACTTACATCAAGATCATATTGTTCTTGTTGTTTCGATGAAGTTGGAGAAGATTCAATGATTTTATTCATTTCTATCAACTCACTTCCATTATAGTCGATTGACTTTGATAATTCAGAACAGTCAACTTCATTTGAATTTATTTTTTTATAAATATTAGTATTGTTTTCGATGTTCAACAGATCTGTTTTGTATAGACTGTACAAATCAACAAGTGGAAGTTTCTTGTGTAGTAATACATCTATATATTGATCTATTTGATGTGTTGGTATAATCCTACAAAGTAATAGTATCACATAGAACGTTAAATACGTAATAAGGACTCGTCTTAAGAGAAACAGGTATTTAGTGATCCCGATAATAAAAGAACGTACTTCCTAAATTTAGAGCTAATTTTTATCATGGATCAACATCAAGTATGGGAACCAACAAAAAATTAAGCAACACTGGATAAACGCTGCGTTCTAGCTTGAGGTTTCTTTATAGTAATACTAAGAACAGACATAGAAGGCAATTGAGTTCATAGCAAGCCTGGTGCAGTTAGGCAAACGAATCAATGTTCAGTTATTTGTATTTTAAAATGTAATCGACTTATTCTATTGCATGATTCGAAACCAGTCACATTATTCTTTACTTGGCAATGTTTTCTGAATAGGAAATAGATCTCAAAATTACTCATCAGTAAGTTGATAATAAACACTTAGTTTTGTGTGAATGTTGAAACAGTTCAAAAGTAATTTTCCTTCAATAACTTACACGTAGCACATTGAACTCGCTTTAGATCGAACAAAATCAAGAATATTCAAAGTATTTCAGCCAAATTCTGAGTAACGCAGTCAAAACATTATGTACACAGAACAGACTAACTTCAGGGAAGCATGAAAAGCACTTATATGGCCCACAGAACTCACAAGACATCTAAGTATCAAATACAAACCTCTCTATAGATGTCAACCCACAAACAATAGGAAAAATCAGCATAGCCACCAGACAAATCAACAGTGGAAAACCAGCAGCATCAGACAACATACAAGCTGAAGCACTGACGTCAGACATAGAAGTAACTGCAAACCTGTTACACATCCTATTCAAGAGGATTAAGGAGGATGAACAAGTGCCGATAGACTGGAAAGTGGGATACCTCATCAAAGTAGCAAAGAAAGGTGACTCAGTAAGTGTGAGAACTACAGAGGTACCACACTACTATCAGTATTAGGAAAAGTTTTCAACGGTGTTGTTGAACCAGATGAAAGATTCAGTGGACGCTCAACTTCCAGAACAACAGGCCGGATTCCGTAAGGATCGATAGTTTACAGACTACATCGCGACACTATTGATCATTGTTGAACAATCAAGTGAATAGAACTGGTTACCATGCATCAATCTTTTTAACTATGGTAAAGCATTTGACAGTGTGGATAGGAGAATCTTGTGGAAGCTTCTTTGACACTATGGTGTACCTGAGAAAATTTTCACCACCGTACGGGAGTCTTAATACGTCTCTCCTACCATATAGGCTCCTTAGGTGGATATCTCAACATCGCCTATCTCTACAACTTGATTATATTTTGGACAATGACTATAAATGTAGTTCAATAAGTAATGTATGCTATGTTTGATTCTTAATGCGGACATCAACAATCATGGATACAAAATAGGATATAATACCCATTCTGAATCCCACTATGATCAACTATCTACAATATACTGTTTTAATTTTAATTTAAATAGTTACTATGTTACTTTAATTTTGACAGCGAACGGAATTCATGTCATATAAAGAACCATGTTTATTTTCGTTACTTTAAAATTTACACAAAACATTATACATTAATAGAATTGATCATTTTTGTCTTACATCAGCATTCCAAGAACACCATGTTGATGACAGACAGCTTGTTGTTTTAAACTGATATCATTCAAATCAACAGGATCACCATTAGCTGGACGAGCTACAATCATTCGAATTAAAACAGTTGGGTCGCTCATTAGTTTTTGATTGATCTCGTGAATTTCATTAGACTCAATTTGATTTGAATCTATTTGGCTTGGGGATAAAGTGTATTTTTCCGATCGTATATTAATAGTATTAGTAAAAGTTGATGAAGTTCTGTTTGTTAATGGCTGCGTTCTGATAAGTGAAGATTTTTTATTCATAGTTTTTGTGGATGTTTCATCCGTCTGCAAAGAATCTTGTTTTAATACAACTTCAGATAGACAATTTGATATAGTTTGGCGTAGAACTGTAGCCACTTGATCTGGTCCATAACTTCGAACATTATGATCATGAATGCAGACAATATGGTCACCAAGTCGAAGACGACCGTCCTTAGAAAGAATCAGTATAAACGACAAGAAACAGATGAGGTAAAACTATCATGTACTACACGTAAGATCACATGAATTATCAAAATTAAACACTAAGAAAAATTTATGTTACCTCTTACTTCAGAGATAAAGCATGATAACCAAGTCGTGAACAGTCACTACGGACAGGATCATACATTAACTTCTTGATAATGTAGTAGAAAATGAGCAATAATCAACACGTTACATCTTAATGTAAAAATGACATCCACTCAGACATGTCAATGCAAGGGAAATAGAATCGAAGAGAGAAAACCATAATTAGAGTTTGCTGCTACACAAATAACTCACTGGAATTCGGAATTCCAAAGTTACACAAGTGGGGTTTTTTCAGTGAAATATAGACAAGTGATAACTAGCCACTGATAACTATATCCATATTTCTCTGTCAGTCAATTCGTTTTTATGAATCAATATACTTCTTAATCAATGGTGATAAGAAAGAATTCCAAGTGATTGTTATCATTACTGAACAAAATATAGAGTGACATCAACTGAAGTCTTGTCGAAAACCAGAGAATGATAACTGTTTCATATAAATGACGTGCATCCCAAAACACCTTCAAATTAAATGTTAATAAACTTTTAACAATACATAATAGTCCAAGTAGAGTTTTTGTCTTTAATATTGTCTTACCAGTTCAGCTGCTCCACCAGGTGTAATGCATCTAACGATTACACCGGTGCTCTTACTTCCACACATACCAAATCCAAGATGTGTTGCATTATCAACTAGCAATTCAATTACTTCTATCTCTGTCCAATCTGTATTTAGCTACAATAAAAATATTTGTAGAGTGTGAATTAATATACTGATTTAAAACATGAGTAAGATGACAGTTTGCTTAGATAGAAAAACTAATTTTTCACGATTAGAAAGCTATGAGGCTAATTTTTATTATTCAGAATGGAGCTATAGTTAATGTCAGAATAGTTGAGTGAATGGAACAAAACAAACGTCTACAAACGAGATATCGATTCGTTAACTTTCAAAGTTGTACTCATTACTGACTAACTTTTAGATGAATTTTAGAAGTTCGGGTGAGAAGCCGTGACTAGTGGAATTTCGACATTTTAGGGGTAAGACAGATATCATCAATGACATCGTACAATAATTTTACTGTATTGCGAGTTGACTGTGATTGGAAATGTAGATTAGATGTTGAAAAGTCAGTTTTCCAATGGTATCATACTCTTCATGAGGATTGAGGCTCCTGGTCTCGATCTCTAGCTTTATTTTCGATAGCTGTTGGGCTGTGATGTGAACTATTCTTAATAACTCACCATTCATCATTGAAAGTTAATTTGGAAATCTTTTGAAAATAATTCACATATTACTGGTTATTAGGTTTTAATTTAACATCCGTCTAAATCAGCAGCGTTCAAGACAGTTATTAAATTTATTAAAAATCTAATCACGACAGATGTTATACTGTTTGTTTAAACTCAGGTGGGAGAATAGATTTTCCGTGTTCAGGACATCTTAATTCTCCTAGTAAAAATAGTATCTGAACAGTTATATTTTAATAACCAGTGATTTGCTATCTACCCTTTAGGGTTAACCGAATTCTATAGATCAAGGTATAGTGCGGTCATCAGTCTAAGAAACTCAACATCATGACATAAAGACTTAGTTCCGTGTGTATACCATCTATTAAAATAACAATCCTATAATCTCAATGTAACTGATACTACCCTTTGTACTCTGACAATTATCATATAATGTCACATTCAGGCATATTACCATCGAGTTGTTCGGTCTCCAAATAATTTTTTAGGACCAACATATCCACCCTAACTGATTACTGAATACGTAAACAGTGGTAATCTATCTATGATCTGTAGATCACGTAACAAAATAGAGAATAGTACAACAAATGTGATATTACAATATAAGATGTTCTGATGTTAGGCTGTAAGAAGAGGTTGAAATGCAACGGTTGATGCGTTTTTAGTTCCTATGTACGCCATAAGTATCATTACAATCTTTAGTACACCTTACTGAAAAAGGTCATATAGCAGAAAATCTAGATTTGGAAATTCTGTAATTATCGATATTTGATTCAACAGTGTTGAATTAAAACCAAATAATAAAAACTTACCATTGTTTTGACGCTTTTTATTTCAGTTCATTTGATTAATTCTTTTCTGATTGGAATGTAATCGTAAACAACTATCTGGAACCAGTTTAACTCTTTGCCTATTCATTCTGCTTTCTCCTTACGCTTCTTAAATTTTCTGATTATCCTGTTGTCGACCTGAATTAATCATATGATCCTGATAATAAAGTGAGGTAGAGAAGAGTCAAAATAAAAATTTTTTACACAAGATGATTAGTTTCAAATTGTTTTTTGTTAGTCTATAATTTAATAGGATGAAGATCAGTATTTTCAAGAAGTCTCAGAAAACTCCATAGTACCAAAATAACTTTTAGCCAGTCAACACCTTTAGAAGGTCTGCTGAGAAAACCAATGGCCATAATGAAGTATCTGGACTACTACTCACTTAAGTATCTGTTAAAGTGTTCAAGAATCCAAGCACAATGGGTACCATATAAACGCCTTTCAATTTCTGTAACTAGAAAATCTGCCGTATTATCGAAATCTTATGTTTCAAAATCTTGATATTTGATCCTGATATTTGAATCTAGAAAACTGGCTAAGAAGTTATTATCGCAATCGTTAAATGTCAACATTATTGTGGGACGACACCTCAACGATTACCTCGAGCATCACCTTTGTACATCACGTCACCGACTGTTCTTACGATGACACTCGCTACCCATATAGGTCCACACTGTTGAAGGTTTCTTACATACACTGGTAACCCACTAGGAAACTGACGATCAGTTTTCTTCACCTTGGGTTTATAATCCCGTCTTCTACCTTGTGGATACATGTCATTAAATGACGTCCGAATCTTCCTTCCGGACATTGACCTAGCAGGGGAGGTAACATTGGTTGAGGCTAGATTTCGGGTTATTCTAGATGAACTTCTCCGTCGTGCTTTCCCCTTGTGACTTGATGAAAATTCGCCAAAACGCTCCTTCTGGCCGTTTGACTTGGTGTGGTAGGGTGGTGTGTTATTGCGTCCTTCAAACAGAAGTTCGACATTTTCAACGTGAACTGAGGTTCACTGTTTATAACTAGTGTTTCCGGAAAAGCAAACTGCCCAAAAGCCTATTCAGCACCTTCATGTTTGAGGTCGATGAGGTCTGAGGCATTAAACAAATCTGGCCATTTTGCAAATTAGTCGATGATGGTTAAAAAAGTTGATCGTTTATTAGCCCAGCAAAATCAGCATGAACACGGGGCCATGGCTTCCCTGAACATAGCCATATGAATGGCTGTGTTTTCGGTGGCAGCTTTGTGGCATATGCACACTATGGACATTTGTTTGCAACACTTTCAATGTCCTTATCAGTCAGTGGTCAATATAAATAGCTGCGTGCTGGTGCCGTCATACGATCGATGCACACCACGGTGACCTGAGCGAAATTGTTTCAATACCAGGAATAATCAGGCGTTGCTCAGACAGTACACAGGAGTTGGTAGTAGACAAAGCTCCGGGTCGTCGGAAATATTCTATTAAAGCATTATCGAATTTATTTAGCCAACCGTCATACGCATACTTCGCGACTTGCTGAAGTTTATGTTGGACATCGTAGCATCCTAGACCATATTCGCCGTTGTTGGAAAGGTGTCGATCACATCCGACATAACTCGGTTTACTTTTGCTTCAGTTGATACTGCCTTAACAACGCAACCCTCATTGATTGTTCGGTTTCAGTTTATTAGTCTTGATAATTCACTAGCCTGTTCAAGACTGGTTGTTGATGTATATTTGATGATAAAATCATAACCAGAAAGAAATGTAGTCCACTTCTGTAAGCGATTTTCAGTGTTTATTGGTGTTTATCTATCTAAACGATCTCGAGTCACCGACTGCTCGAAAGTTGAATACTACCACCAAATATGAATTATGAACCAATCTTTCTAAAACCACGTGTGTGTTTCAAACTGGCCTCCTTCAACGTTCGCACAATAATCAATGTCAGACAACAGAAAGGGTTGGTTATGTCTTTCGAAAGTCTTAATATCGACGTCTGTTGTCTATCCGAGACCCGCATTCAAGACTAGTAAAGTACTACAAATTTGCTCTCCATCTGTCGTTTTGAAAAGCTTGTTTCACGTGTGTCTATTTGGGGCATTTTCTTTTGGTTTTGTTGGTGTTACACTACGTGCTGAGGTTGTGTCAGCTCTAACAGATCGGATGGCGGCGACACTCTGGTTGAAGAACTGACAGAATTGTCCACAAATGTCTGGTAATTAGAGAATGTTCCAACACTATAGAATGAGTCGTTAATTATCCCCATCTTTAATAAGAGTCCACTTCACTTATATAACAACCATAGGAGGATAAGTTTACTTCTGATGGCATCCAAATTATTGACTTCCGTCATACTTCGTAGATTGTTCAAAACCCATGAAAGGTTGACTTGTGAGGAGCAGACTGGTTTTCGTTCTGGTCGAGGATGTATTGATCATATCTTCACCCTCTCCCAAATCTTAGAACACCTTCATACTTATTACAAGCCAACAATCGTAGTGTCCCTCGACATCAGTCTCGCATTTGATTCATTGGATAGGACTGCTCTATGGATTGTCTATTGAAGAAAGGTGTGTCTAAAAGCCCTATATACAAACACCACTGGCGGAGTGGGGGCATACGATCACCTCTCTACATTGTTCTAACTCAGAAGCGGGGCTAGGTAGGGTTGCCAAATCTAACCATTCCTTTTCAACTTTGCCATCAATGACGGTCTGAAATCAACTTTGATGGATGTGGGTAATGGTGGTGTCAATCTGTTGTCTGGAGAAGGACTCTTCGACCTTGAGTGTCCGGATGATATTGTCCTACTGTGTGATGGTACCTAAGCGATGCGATCTGCACTTAATCAGCTGGCAACCAGTGTCCGTGGGTATGGGATTTGCTTTGCACCTTGGCAGTGCAAAGTACTTTTACAATACTTTTAAGATCCTAAACCTGCACTCACTCTTGGTAGTAAGCAAATATGAGTAATCGAGAAGTTCGTGTATTTGGGTAGCTCAGTGAATGCTGTTGGTGGCGTGAGTGATGAGATCAACTGATGTATATTGGAAGCCAGAGCGGCTTATGTAAATCTAGGTTATTTTTTGCAGTCAGCCAGTCAGTCAGCTACAACAAAGGACCATGCACATATATGCATCGGCCCAAGTTGACATCGTTGTAGCCTTCGTGATGTTATTCTTGATGTAAAATGTTGGGTTCACAACCTGGCGGTGACAGCAGTTTCTCTCCCTTTGATTTGACAATGTTAAGTGACTCTCTGTGTTTGATAATCGTTGTCTCAAAGGATTTCTGACATCCACTATAAACACCATTTTATTAATGATTCGACATCGTGTGTTCGGGTACAGCTGTAGTGTGTGTTACTGATGTCGACAGATATAAATAGTATGTATCATCAATCGAGAGTGAAATGTCTGGCGGCAGAACGTTAGGAAGATCGAAGAAAAGAGAACGAAAACAAAAAATGATTGATGTGAAAACAAAAGAACAATGAAGTCTGAGACGATTGACTGATATTTGCGAAAGGAATAGTCAAGTTTGAGACGATTGACATTTTGCAAATGAATTTAGTGTATGGTTCTCAAATTTTACTAAGACGTTCTGTAATTTTCTGTTCAAATACATTTGACTGTCCCCACCAGTGCGACGAAAATTCAAGTAGGGGCACTATCTTGAAACATCAAATTCGGTGACTTGCACATGTTCTACGAATATCATCTCAGGGAATCCCACGTCGTGAATTATTTACCTACATTGGGACTGATTGGAAAAAGCGGAGAGGTGATCAGTGTATGACATGGTGTCGCGGTATGAAAGAAAGCTGTACAGGACTGGCTTCTGTTGGTTCTTCACGAGTCCCTGGTTAAGATCCTACAGATGGTGCAACACAGTGGCTAGAAACGTTATCAGATGTGGCTCAGAATAGAAGCTAGTGGCAATCCTGCTGTCACTTTCTTTTACTTTCTTCATACAAAATGAACGTAACTTCTTTAACTGGAAGAATGCTCTCTCGTTGTATCTTTGCTAACTGAACTGCCTCTCCCATTATTGTTTCACTCTCATAAACTAATTTCTGTTTGTTATTTTCTCCGTTCGCCCATACGCACTTTACATTCTCTATCTATTCACATTTTCATTATTATTGTGTGGCGCCTATGTATTTGGTGCCCTTATGTATCAATGTTTTTTTCATTGTCACATAGTATAATTAGTCAGGTGAAAGTACAGTTCAAACGGTTTCTCCTATTTAAGGAATATTGGCTCGCATTATGTGATTGTGACAGAAACACAGTTAATGGCAAATTATACTAGTTCCTCTAAAGTTGCTATGTCATTTCACACTTTATGCCAACCATAATTCTCTACTTCTACACTATTAGTATATTGATGGATATCGAACCTTTTACTACACTTTTCCTATATTAAATAATATGGTTAAAATATTTGGTTAATGTAGAGTAATCAAATTGACGATGTGACTTTAATTCATTGTGTATTGATGTAAAGTGACCTAAGTAAATAAATTACTAAGCACTAGGGAAATGATTTCCAGGAAATTTTGGACGGAATGATTTCCAAATCATGAAAATTCCACATCCAATCAAAACTAAATGCTTCACATGGATTTCTACAAATCAGATGTCATGAATAGAGGATTTACAATCAATTAAATAACTATTTTAGTGGGAAGAAAGCGACCATGAAGAAACCAAACACTTATTTTAATATTTCACAATTTCTTTGATATTAATGATTATACTTCCAAAATTTATCATTATGGGTACATAAAGCCCAAAGTCGGTTCAATGTCAATCATGTTTTGTGATAAGGTAACTTTATTCTCTTATGTGAAGAAGTTATCGAATTTATTGAATTCGATTATAAGTGGGAAGTTTTCAATTCACATTTCTATCTTTCGTTCAAAATTACTCCTCACATTTTTTCAGTAGCTATCAATCCCACAGATCAATGTGTACATATTAATACACTGACTTAATCATGCATACACACACTTGAAGAGCTAACATTCTAGATAAAATTTCGTCTTTAAAAAAATGAAAGGGAATTTCAATGCAATTTGATAATCAGTTAGATGCAATGTTGTCAAAGTGCGGTGTATGCTACTTATTTTGACTGATTTAATTAGTATGTAGCACCAATCAGAA